CGATTTTTGCCATGGAAAAAAGATGGATAGCCATCCCTCTTTCTTTTTCCCATCAATACAATTCAATCAATATAAAAAACGAGATATTTTCAACTACTTTGCCAGAAATACGTCGTAATTATCCGATAATTTTCCAATTAAAAAATGTTAAATTCTATAGTAGCATTCTATTATCTTTATCCTTGTCTCTTATCATCGTATAGAATAGAGACAATAAATTATTTGGCTACTTCGCTATGCATATTATAGTTGCATTTGCTCGTTAATATATCTATCATCCTTGTTTACCCTTCGTGATAGAACAGAGAAAACAGCATATTATTTGACTACGTAACTATGTATTTTATAGTGGCATTTGCCATGAGTATGTTCAGCATCCTTGTTTACCCTTCGTTATAGAACAGAGATAAACATCTTATTTCGTTCCATCTGTCATGAGATGAGGGGCCACTAAAACTAACAATCCTGTAAAATCGTTGATAAATGACAAGTGTTATCGCACTCGAAAAAATGTAATTCTATCATAAAAAATCCATAAAGTTTCTTCTACAAAGAAAGTGCGCGATCGGATACGAAATACTCAAGTGTGTTCTCTATTTAGATACCCTCCAGAGACTTTTTCCGGCTTTTGAATTAGGCGGAAATAACTTGAAAATCCTCCTGAACGCACAGTACAGTCTCCCCGAAAAACGGGGTAAGTACATCTGTTCTTTCCACGCTATTTTACGTTTCAGGGCAATTGAAAGCCAAATTTACCTAAGAAAACGAGCACCGATCTTAAACACTTTCGACTATAATCAGTTTGCGCCATTCTTGGCAGAAACTTAAGCGTTCAAGTTGAAGCGGCATTAGGGCCCCTTTATTTCATCAATCATTTATACTTTAAGGAAAGGAATTATTACATCAAGATAAAAATTCTTCAAATTCAACGGCAAAGTGCAAATTTTCTTTTAGGAAGGAATTTTTTATCTATACATATGTATTTACAGATAATTACAAAAATATTCGGACACCCCGCGTTTAGTTGAATTTCTCCACGAATATGAAATGTTTTTTTTTATTGTTTGAATATAATTATATGGTCACTTATGCCGACTATTATTTCAAAATAAGACGTAGTATCGCTTCTGCTATGATCAGCACGATTTAACTGTAAAAGAAGCCACAGCAGTAACGAGCATTCAGTCATTACATGTTTGATCAGAAGTCACAAGATTTGAGTCTCAGATAGTCTCAGTCTAAAGATAGTCAGTCTTAACATATACGGTCTAAGAGTCATAAGTCATAGTTAAGGTTCGGTTACAAGTTAAATCTATTGTTTGTATTAATTTGGAAATAAATTGTTTTCAAAAAGCTCTTTCAAATTAATCAATAAAATTATATCTGTAAAAGTATTCGCACATTTATTACATTTTGTTAATTAAGAACAATCAAAAGTAACGATTAGTATTTGGTGGGTCTACCTTTTTATTCCAACGCAGATGTGCGACGTTCGGACAGAAAAAAATATGACTCTGGAAAAAAATCTATCTACTTTGCCTTCTTCAAGTCAAATTTGCTTCAACTGAATTTTGCAGTAATATTATGAGTAGTATGAGAGATTTGAGATATTTATAAAGCGTCCATTCCTGGGCAATCCTGGCACTATGCATATAATCATTGCCTTGATAGAATTCAAAATTCTCCCTTATTCCCACTTTAGACGCACTTTGAAACAAATTAGTTTTTAAGATTTTTAAATAACCCATTTTGTCCAAGCTTCCATCAATAAAAACTAACTCGCCCACACCAAATGAGGCAATGCACCCCCATACCATAAGAGATCACCCGCCGTGTTTTACTGTTGCAGACAAACTTTTATTTTGAAGTTCATATGGTTTTTCCCACAACATTTGTGGTCCATCCGACCCCAAACATCTTGAACTTCGACCTGTGTTGACGAAAACACTTATTTTTTACCAAACTCAGTACAGGCCAAGGCTTAATATTCATTGGCCTGAATACATCTGCGAACAGTGTAAACAGATACTTTTTCCTTTTAACTGGAAGTTGTGGGGCACTAACTTTAAGATTTTATTTTACTCGTTTCGGTATAAGCCTCATTTATTTTGAATGTAACGTCTTTGAACGGTCTACGTGAATAATACAATCTCATTTTTATAACTAAATACTACAGCACCTTTTTTACGTTAAATTTTTCCGCGATTTTTTATTATTATTAATATAATGGAATTAAGTCCAGACTTAATTCTAGTTCTTTTCTTTTGCAATAAATTTTCATTGCACCGAATATAACTATGCCTACTTAACTGCAGCGAAAAAGCGCATCAATTGTTTATACCACTTAAGAATTTTTAATATTATTAGAAGAAATCCGATATTGTTGTAGTGTAGTAAAATAAAATTCTTCTTTTTCCAATTGGTTTGTTTGTTATTAAAACATTTTTCAATGCGTTACTCTAGTACTGTTTAAGAAATTCAACTAAGCGCGGAGTGTTCGAATATTTTTGTGATCCACTATCTTTGCATTCCTCAGCCAAGCCCAATAACGCAATATTTTGAATCACCCAGTAGCGTTTCGGTAATTTACAATAATCAACAAGGTCGACTAATTCAAATTCAATGTTGTGACATTATTTCCTAATCAGCTTGTGCTAAGGCGCGTTACGCTGATTGGGAAGTACTTTTGACTCTTTCCCAGTATTAATAAAATGTGATATGAATACAGACCTATTTAGGGACATGTCCCTTCTTAGTATTGTGGACAGGGCTGCGGTGACTAAACGCACCATGTCAGCGTAAAGAAGTTGCTTGTTTTGCATGGGAAAACACACCATCAGCAGGTCTAAAGCGGACCTTTGTACCAGCACGCTCGAATCTTGAACTGCTGCACATAAACCTGACACCTGAAACGAAAATATACCAGTTCAATATAGCAACAATTTATTATGTGAGGCTTGAACTAAAACAATTTAAATGAATCAATGAAAAATGTTATAACTAAACATTGCAGAAAAAGTTTTCTTAATCGTTTTCAGGATTTTTTTCACGATCAATCATCAATCTTCAAGTGTGTTGCTTTATTTAAAGCTACTCTAGTAGTATTTATAAATAATCAATTTTACAATCATAATCACAATAAATTCATGCTAATTGTGTCACATTCCTGAAAAATGCCCATACCATTAATCCAATATCATGTCCCATTAAATAGAGTTGGTCCTCCATGGGCAACTTTCGACTATAATGAGCGAAAACGTAGGTAACCGCCGGCAATCTTACAGGACTGTTATTTGCCACACATTGCCATATGCAGGTATAGAAATAGGGCGGTCCCACCCCATCACAAACGTCTTCTAATAATTTGTTAGTTCTACAACAAAATTCGTTATTACTAACTTAGCCCCATTTTCTCGCGTTCGCTTCCTACCTATCAAAGTGGTCGGTTCCTGTATCCAACCCCGGAAGAATCCCACTAAGAAATCCACTTAAAGCCGGCCTTAGCCGATCTCCTAATGGAACGAAATGGGTCTCGTATATGGTCAACAATGCTGGACGTATATTCATGGCAGCATGGCTCATAAGAGGAAATAAACCTTTAACAAAAATAAATTAGGTCACTAATTGGAAAAAATTAAGTCATGTGCAGGTGAATAACATTGTATGTGGTCGCAAAAACAAGTGGTATGTTTGTTCTTTCCTTTAGATGCTTTATTGCGTAAGTGATAATTAACACTTACTATGTTTAGAGAGATGTTTTATTACCTACGCCCTGTTAATTTATTTATTAGTGTGTTTTCTAGAGAAATAATCGATGTTGCTTAGCTATGATGACTCATGAAGCTGAGATCAGGATTTAGTAAAATTTTGTTTTAAATTACCAGCCACAAAGAATAACAAGAATTTTATTTATTGCAGTATATTTCAATTAAAGAAACGACTTAATTTTCTAAACACACTTTGTACAAGTTTATTTGATTGTTACTCAACTGGCGGTGATAATTAGGGCTCTGTATTAAAAGCAATTTTAAGCGTTTTAAATGAATATTCTAATTTTTAATAAAAAGATTTCGGGTAATGAAATATTCGAATTTATTTTATAATCGAGTGATTATTAATATCTCACATTTCTTAGTCGCAATTCGGAATATTTGAGCGAATTCATACTGACATTTTTAGCAGAATGCTATGGAAATCCCAATCTCCATTTTCTAATACTGCGACCTTTAAGCACATTTTTTATGGATTCACGCGATTTATGGGAATACTAGGCCTCGTATCTCCCTTTGATATCAATAAATGCGAAAGTAATCATCTGCATCGCCCTGTGGATAATTGATTTGAGACATTCAGTTGATAAAATCAATTCAAGTCTCTGCAGAATAGAATAATTCGAGATATTTAATTGGATTCTTTCCAACCATCCGTCCATAATTCACCACGTCCGATAATCCTTCGATTGCAAGCTTACGGATCTTGCGAGTTTTTCGATGTTCTCTTAATAGCTTCTTAATAATAATATAGAAGGATTCTTAATAATAACTTTTGTGATGTCACATCCCTTTCTTTCCCCGGAACTTTCCGGCAGTGTTGAGGTTGATTTTGATAAGAATGTCGGAGAGTCGAAAAAGAAATCGGTTACTCATAATTTTATATAAGTAAAATTGCGCTAAATGCTCTTCTGACGAAAAAAAGCAGGTAAGCGGTAAAATATTTCTCTTGACTAAATTGGAATTTTCCATTCAACTTACTTGTTCTGCCCGCATTAAGAGCGGATACTTTTAAATAATAATTATTTAAAATTCTTCTTCAAAGCTTTGCTGATACATAATAACTATGTCGTCCCTGCAAATTTGCTTAAGGTTCTTGCCTCTCGTGAAGTCCGATGTTCTAAATTGACTTCTTAAAAATTTATAGAACCGTTAAATTTTAAATATTTTAAGCAAAAATTGCCACAAGGCATAGTGACCTCCTATGTGAATCCAACAGACAAAAATGTTTTCAAAATTTGCAATAAATTTTATTTAAATACACAGCGAAATAGGTAATCAGCTTCGGAACACTTGCACATTAACATTTTTTTCGTGTAGCGTTTCTTCTGGCCGTTTTTTAACCGAAAATAAATTACCCGTTCAATTGGGAACATTTTTAGTTTCTTGCGGTTGTTTCAAATCTGTGACCGTTCTAGCAGGGTAAATTATAAAACGTTTCCGCAATGGATAAATAATGGGCTCTCATTGCAATGGTTGGGTCCTAATTATTTAGTCTATTGCAGATTTCAAAAAAATAGTTGAAATAGAAGATTATCGAAATAAATAAGCCTAAAAGTTGGCTCCACCTAAATGATGGTTGAAGTTGCAACAACAGTTTTATTCGTTTTCTTTTTGAGTGCGATTTTCTTAAAGTTGGGTGAACTTCAAAAAAGTATATAATATAAAAGAGTATAAAATTTAGATGACGATCTTTATCACTTCTCAAAACATGCCCGGTATATGATGTCTTTCGGAATTTTATGGTAGCTAATAGTTGCCATTCGATGTTTGCTTGTTCAGTTGCCTCGTTTACAACATTTGTCCATAGAATATGAAGCATAGTTCGTTCTGTGGAGTCACATTTCGAATGCCTCCAGTTGGTTCAACATCCTGACCTTCAGAGTCTCCGACTACACTTCGTACAGCAATAGACATTGAACCATCATATATCACAAGTATCAACTTCAAATTAAGGTTCTCTTTGCAGTGGATTGTTCTCATTTAATTGAAAAGTTCCCGAGCACTCTCAATCAAATCATTAAAAATCAAGAAGCACCGGGTTATAAAAAAACCGAATTAGCGGATCACAAGAATTGAACCTATTCTTCTATGATGTGTATTAAAACACTAAATAATGCTAGACTTGAAAACCGATTTGCAACGCAACTGCAACGCTCTAGTTGTCATTACGGGATAGAGGCTTAAAGGACGGATTTTTTTATACCAAACATTATATCAGAAATGATTTGGCTTTCACGCAAAATTTAAAAAATCGAAAATAGTGCACGCCTTAAAAACCGCTCTTAGAATTTGGCTCATATTGAGAGAACCGATTGAACTGGAAGGCTTTAGTTGCCATTACCGGATAGAGGTTTAAAGGATGCACTTTTTTATTTCAAACATTATTCCAGAAATGTTTTGGCTTTCACGCAACATAAAAAAAATTCTAAAATAATACAAGTTTCAAAAACCTCTCTTAGAAATTGGCTCATATTTAGAGAGCCGATTCAACTGCAATCCTCCAGTTGTCAATACCGGATAGAGGCTTAAAGGACGCACTTTTTATAAGGCCTGGGTAACTTAGTGAAATTTTTGGAGCAGTGCTGCGCGACTGGCTTTGTGTGTCAACCCAACGCACCGGCGCAGTAATTCAGTCCCGGTGCTGGCAAAAAATTTACTTTTTTGGCAAGTTATTCTTCGATTTATTTTAAGGGCCATTTATTAACAATATTTTTAGTTTTTTCAAAATTTCAGAATTTTCCAGTTTTAGCAAAGTTACTGTTTCTTCTAAGTAATGTTTTACGTAAAAATACTGACAATCTAACTATATTTTCCGCGAAAAATCTTAAAATAAATTTTATTACAACACTCGCCTCCTTCGTCGTTTCGTAAAAAGTATTGACATCCTTTTCCACTTTCAAATTTAGGATTAGTTATCTTGTTTTTTTCTCGATAAAATTAATTTTCCAAAAAACGATCAGAGAAAGCAAAGGCATATGATCAACTATTTGGAAAACTCCTTGAAAATCTCATCGCTCTGAAGAATTTTAAAGTTTCTTAAAAATTTCCGATTTTTCTCGTTTTAGACAAAAGCCAGGAAAAGGTAACTCAGTGCATTTTTAGGTGTTGGAGCAGTGCTGCGCAAATAGCTTGGTACTCAGTAACTCAGTTCCGTTGCTGAAAAAATGATACTCCGAATGTTAAAATTCCAGTCTAGGGTTTCGTACAGCTTTAATCCGCTTTAATAAATGAGTTATGACTCATTCACCGATGTGTTATAGCGCATTAACTCAGAGAGCGGCAACAACTCAAAAGTGCAACTCAACACAGTGTTACGCAGGCCTACTTTTAATAACAAACATCATTTTAGAAATGTTTTTAGTTTTCACGCGATTTTTCTGCAATTGCATTTGCAAAAAAATCCCTATATTTCAATAAGGATATCGGGTGAAATTCGGTCCAAGGCTTTCTCATAGTGCACAGTGGATGCAAAAATATCCTTTCGCTGGTTACAGCATTTCTGAGAGAGACAGTTCATTCAGAAAAGTGAAGTTTCTGAATACGAACTGAGAATCATCGAAATCCTACTCACACTTACGGGTAATGCAAGCGTGAGTAATACGGATAAATGTCTCAAACATGTGATAGGTACATGAGGCTGATTAAATTCTCCTGTAATAAGCTTCACAGCCTCGTTCACAATTCCGTATTATTTGCGAATTTAAGAATGATTGGTAGTATGCCCTCATGTGTAAAACATATACCGTATATGCGTTTTTATCCGTTATGCATGCATTATCGGATATAAATTATTTGCAGTACTTAAGCATCTTCAATTTCAGGAAATACCGCACCCTAAAAATTAGTCATTGGTATTTGCAAGAGATTATGTAGGTTATCAGTATCAGTTAGTCTTAACATAACTTATCAGACCTGATAATATCAATGATGATTCTGGATTTGTGATAACGGGAAACAAATAATAACCCGGCTTAAATAGATATACATTTGGCTTGATATTACTCTATTTGTATAAGGACAAAAACATCAAAATATATGAAAGTAGATAGGTACCACCCAAGACATTATTTTGATGAGAGTTAACACCAGTTATACTTGAATGGAAACAGCCAGCAGTATTAACTAATAGCTTCTCAGTTTAACTAATGCCAAGGTCAAACATGACGATTGTTCTGAAATGTTTTTCTTTCTAATTAATACCGGAAAAATGTAACAAACTCATTGTTTGGTTTGGCTGAATGTAATCAAAGGTCCATCTGTTTAATCACCTTCATGCCTGCCAAACTGAACGATTTTATTAATACGCTCAGGCAAAAATGCTGCATGAAGACCGCAAGGCCGCATTTTAAGTTTTAACTTAACACTTTACAAAATCCTTCTATATTATCACGTTCGGCAAATATTTGCCCATATCGCTGGGCAATTTTGCAGGAACAGCTAGCTACTGGCTCAACATGATACTCGAGAAAAATAATGCATTCGCACTCTGAAATTAAACCAAAGAGAACGTTTCGTTTTTCACAAAATGTATTTTGGTGCATGGGTTATTTTCGGATTTTTCAAGAACCATAAATTTTATTTTGCGAGATTTTGCCGATCCCAGAATCACTTTCTCGCGATGAAAATAGAATATTCCGAAACTCAGTGCTTCTGGTCAATTGTTTTTGACCACAGCGGATTCATTGGATAAATCCACGAAAAGCACATTTAATATTGCTGTTAGGTTCTAAATATAAACGGGTGCTTTTTACAAACTCCGGAGATCCTTTTAGATTTGCTTTTCCACTATTTTAGTATTTTTACTGACTTAAGTTTCATTTGCATTTGTTACACCTACCTCTCACTCATTATTAAATAGTTTCTGCGATGTCTGTTTTTAATAGTTATAAATAATTGTACATACTTTCCTGACTGTGTTTCAATTCCATTGCATATATTTTTGCCAAAGCTTAAAGTAGCAACAACGCTACACATAGAAACTGATGATGGTGGAAAACATCGAAACGTATTTTAATTGATAAATAGACAATAAATGACTGAAGCCCAGGAATTATTTTGATTTGGAGTTATAAATAATGCCTGACATCCAGTAACTGTAATGACTTTTTAAGTATGACTATTTAAGTCCGGTTTAAGAAGAAAAGGATAATTTAAGAATGAAGCGATCAAATGTTATCAACATTCCGGAATGTTTTTATAAAAATGCGTAGATAGTTGAGCTGTGAGTGTCAATAAATTCGTTACAAAAGCATGATTATATGATAAATGAATTAATACATTCTAAATTTAACTGTTATCACGCTGGAATTAATAAAACCCCGTCCAGAAAAATGCTAAAAAATGTTTTTACTTTAAAAAACGGCCAAGCATATAAAGTGCCTAACATTGGACACCAGCTAAGTCAGTATTGCGCGTTATTTGATATGCACAGTGTCCCACTAGTATGAAACGTATTAATTGTGTCTTCATGGTTACAGATGGCAAAAAATTTAAATACCGTGTAGGTATTTGCGATCTGCATTTAAAAAAATATTTTCAAGTGTACAGTCTCATGAAATCCTCAAACTTTCATTTGATTAAATTTTAGTTGGTCTACCGTTTGCTTGTATCGTAGACTGGAAATTCTAATTTTGCTTCGAAAAATATCTCTTGCAATGGGAATTTCTCAGAAACGGTGTGATGGCAACCTGCTCTTTTCTTTGGCTTCTAGAGGAAGAACTGAGTTTCGTTGTTCTCGCTACAAAGTTTCAATAGATCAACTTTCAACAAATTAGCAAAGTTTAAATATTTCAATTGACTAATACAATTTGTTGCCATCTCATACTTAGTTGCAAGAGACACAGTATAAGATGTCAAATAGATAGAAGAAAAAAAGGCTTCCATTTACAAAGTTAGTACATATTAGTGAATATAAATATTTGAACTTTGATAATTCATAGAAAGTAAGCAACTAATGAAACTTTGAAGTTAAAACTACAAATAAAACAAAACCGATTTCTGCCTCTAGAAGCCAAAGGAAGTAGCAAGTTGCTATCTTTTGCCGTTTCTGAGATATTAACTTGTAATAGGTAGTTGGTAACTAGATAATAAACCGATTGCAAGAGATTAAAAAGTGAAAAACTTAAATTGCTAGTAAACGACACGAACAAACGGTCAACTAAGTATGTATAAAGGATTGCTAATTTAATGCAGAATTCTCAAATGATAGGAATATTTGGGTGTGCTATAAAAACAATTTTGAGAGACATTTTTATGAGACAACCTATACAGGTTGATGAAGCAATAAGCCAGAGATTGAAAAAAAAGATATCACAAAAAGAGCGAAGATGATCATAACTAGAAGAAATTTTGAATAATTCTTGAAATCAGAAGTTTTAAAGGACATTTTTAATTAGTTTAAATTTCGTTGGTTTCTATCATGCCTGGGATGTTGAGCAACAGATTAATTTTTATGTGATTAAATTTGCCTTTGCAACGTGGAAATATTGTCATGCAAACAGCCACTTTCTACAACAATGTCAACAATAAACAAACTGAAATCGACCTTCCAAGCAAAAGCAAAGCAGTGAATCATCGAAAGGGCGAACATGTATATTATTACATAATCATGTTTATTCTGTACTTTGGTGACTTTTTTCGAAATATTCAGTTTGCTACCGACAGTGGACGATATTGTCCACTTTGTGTCGTGTGAATCGCGTACTTAGATGGCAAATATGGAATCATTGTGGCCCTTATCCTACCTGATAACTATAGGATTAAAGTTTTCTATTTGAAGTAGATTTTCGTTGTGTGTAGGGTTCTTTTTGCTTTGCTGATTTCAAATAAGTTTATCTTTGGACAGATTTCCTGCAGTACTAAATACATGTTCTTCTTTCTTTCCAGGTGGCACTACGCAGCTTTCGGTAAGCTTAATATTACTTTGCCCCTGGTTCCCATGTAAGTACATGTAGAACTTTAGGTCCCATATTCACCAACTGACTCGTAGTTAGTTAATTTTTAAACTTTGGGAATATTTTGGGCGGCTTTGTGTTTTTACATCAAGCTCATCTGAAGCTTGTCTAAAGAACCGTGTCAGACATGCAAATAAGGGTTCCAGTTTTATGTTTTTTCGTCAAAAAAGTCATGGGTTTTTGTTTTGCCTGTTTGTTTATTGCGTAATCAACCGAAACATGACGCCGCCTTTTTCGACGCTGCTCAAGAACCATTTGAGCCACAGAGCTCGTTTTTATATCATTGAATAGAGATTTGAAAATTATATTGTATAACGTATACGTGCGTGAGTAAATTCTGGAAGATTTATCACAAAAAGTCACACGGAATTTGAATATCAGACATTTAGGTGCAAGTTTACGCCAACGTAAAAATAAAGTCTTCTACAGAATGTTAATATTTCAAGTTTCTTGTGGCTTTACTTTGGAAGTTAGAATTTTCAATTGAAGAGTGTGCAGTTACGTAAAAGCGTTGATTTTCAAATCAACATTTACAAAGCGCACAAAATTCAAGATTTCATGTGATTTGAATGAATTTTTGAAGGTTTGAAGAAATGTTGACGACATTTAGAGCGCAATCTTCTTTACTTAACACACAACTCTGAACTTGTAAAGTATTTGTCGATTCTGAGAAATATAGTTTTGCAAAACTCAGTTCGACATGTATCCCGCAATAGTTCTTGAAAATCAAATCCTGCGAAAATTTTCTTAACGATGAGTGAAGTTCGAAATGTTTACTGTACTGTTAAATCGCACTCTTCTTTACTGAGCGCACAACACTGAACTTGTTGACAAACATTTTATTTGTCGCTTTTAAGAAATTTAGTTCTTCATGCAAATTGTGTCCCGCAACAGTTCTAGTCTGCGCCAACTCCTGAAAATTCAGTGAGTTACCCATGCACCAAGCACCAAAAAAGTTTGGGTTAGTTTGGGTATTTACCAAACCAAAAAAAAATATTTATGGGCTTCTGTATTTACTCTATTATCTGCATCTATAATTATTAGACAGACCAATATAGACAGACAGACTCTACTTCGAAATAAAGCAAATCCTCTTATATGTATAGAGAAATAGACAATACTTGCTGAAAATCTTCAATAATCAGTACTGTGTTCTTCTGTATTTAGAAACAAAATTATCGATTGCCTTGAAAACATTAATGCTTTATGCCGTTATAAAGCAAGCCAACGAAAATATATATGTACATAAAATTCTTGAACTAAATAAAGAATCTTTATAAGTATAGAGAACTGTGAACTTTAACATGGAAAATTCTGACTTGCAGCCCAAAATAGAACTCCAATTAATTTAAATATGGCAGTTGTGAAGGTCAAGAACTCAATAGCAGGAACAAGGTCGCGTTTAAAATCAATTTTTTACCTGCATTATGTAAGTTTTGTGAAGGAAACGAAAATAATCGGCCTAAATAGTCAGATGACTTGGCAGGGTCAAGTTTGAACTGCTTCAATTCAGTTCAGCAGGTTTGTTTCAATTAACTGAATTAAACAAACATGCTCGCATATACCTATGTAAGAGGTGGTTTAAAGATAGAGTACACATCGGAAAATGTGTTGAAAATTAAAGGACGCGCTTGATTATTGTACCTTAAAAAGCAAATTTAGGTACAACTTTTAGCAACCCAAACGGTTTGTTTAAGAGAGTTAATAGTATTTTTTTCTATTAAATACAAAATTAGTAATTTTCAAGTAGTGTTGTAGTTTCAAGTTGCGATAAGTACTTTAACTATAAAAAAATTATTACATAGGTATACTTAACTCATAAAAATAGCTTTTTACCAATAATAGTAAATGTCTATATAGTTTTACAGATAACGCGGCCTTATCAACAGTTTAGCAAGTATTTTATAATACCACTTCCCATTTGATAAAGTAAAGTTTTATCAGGCCAAATAGGATGTTTGAAATCAGACAACTATATACCTACTTTTAAAATTGTGTAATTTTAGTAAGGACAAAAGTTTTTAATTGATTCATAGAAAGTTACTGCAACATCAAAACCCACACTACTCTGGTTTTTAGTAAAACCCATAAGATAAGCAATCAACATAATTCTACCTAAATACGCACAATTTAAAGATAGCAAGCTGATAGGTATAAGTAAAAAGTGTGAATATGTAGAGCAAGTGTCGATATTATTTAAAATGTTCACTGAACTCACCTGAACTGTAAATAAACAACTCGTAAGCTAGACGATTGGTTCCCATGCATCTAAAAATTATATCATAAGTTTCGAGGGCCTTCAGGTGAACTCCTGAAGGCAGCGCTGGGTGCATACATTGGGCCAATCTTTTACTGATCTTTATCCTTCTAGGAATCACTGGGTACTTTGTGTAGCTTAACAAGACCTGTTAATTAATTATGTAATTGTTCATTTCTTGATGCTGCGAGTTGGATTAATATGTGAAATACCTTATTCAGTTTTCCTAAGGCTGAAATAAGGTCAGCCCACTCAGAAGTGTACTCGAAGTTCTTCAGAGCTTTATCAACTGCAGCCACATACATGCGATATTTGGAGTCTTTCATGAGTTCGTATTCTTCCATTGTTATTGTAGTCATTCTGTTTTAGTATATTGCACTTTTCGGGACGCACTGAATTCAATTGGAAAGTCTTTGTTTACAGTTTAAGCACAGGTTTAATCACTCACATTATCCCGCATATTTTCGGCACAACGTCGCGCTAGAGGCATCCGAGGAGCTAAACTCCGTTGCAGATAATAAATGAATTCCCGTAACGATATTAATAGAGTCAAGACCCCCTTTTTAAATAATTAATTGGCTCTTGATATTGACAAACAGCTAGATGCTTATGGAGCTCTGCTGCTTTCCAATCGTTTTGTTGACGTGTGTCTCTAAAAGTAAATATCATTTACTTGCACATATCACTTTATACACGATCACTCATATCAGGGTTATCTCTTAGTTTACGAACTATTTCAAAACATTTACAAATATGGTGAACATTTTTCTTTCCATCTAGTCCAGTTGTCACTAATCTGACAGCACATCCATATGATTTCTGACTGATTGTCGGATGAAAACACAACAGGAATGTGGGTTTGGATTAACTGACTTAATGTACTAATTTCGAAGGCTATTGTACTAAATTACCAAAAAACTGACTCGTTCCAGGATATAAAAATATACAATTGAAATACCACTTTTGTTAAATTCAAGAGTTTTATAAAATAATTGGTGCTCATGTACCTCTTTTAAGCTCTTTTTAATTGTGTCTTAAAGTACATTAAAATAAAGTAGTTTCAGTGAAAAAAATGCGGATCGATCATAGGATCATGCTAGAAAAAATTTATAAACTTTCAGAAAATATCCATATTCGCGCTAAAATGTGTGCTGCGTTGCCAGACTGTTCAGAATGTTATATGTATTGTAAGCTTAAATTTTAAGATGTGTTGAATTTGGATCGGGATGGCCTCATTGTTTTTCTTTAATTCATAATTTTTTTCACGGGCACCCTTTAAAGGATTGTAGAAGATAAAATTGAATTCTAACTTAGTGAGACCCAGGAAGGATAGGAACTTAATAACAATTGCACGCAGTTAGGAAAATAAATCAAAATCCTAACTAATGGTAATCCAATACTAAAACAACTTAAACTAAATCAAAAATATTTCCTAAGGGAATATATGTCATTTACTTAAAGATAATTTCCCTTTTCGGAAAGTGCAAGTATAAATAATTATCCAGGGGTAAAATAGGTGGCAACATTGGACTTTGTTTAATTTATGAATCGCCTGGGATCTGAGTATTGATGCGCAACACTCCATGCAAGGGCGTCCAAAGCAAGAAGAACACATGTGGAACATATCCGCAATCAATCAGGAGGTTTAGAACAAGTCCCAAAATTTTGCAAAACCTGTATTGCAGACGCTCTTATGCACAATTTTGTGTGTCGAATTATTGATTGTTAGTTCTTGTAACAAGGTTTAACAGTACACGTCTCTGGGCAATCTCATTCTCCACGATAAATACCGGGTCATTTGATGATGAACATGATTTTTCAAAAGTTACAAGTGTTTTTTCTATATGGATATGAATATTTTATTAAAGTTTATAAATGTTTTTTAGCAGGATTTCATAGCCGAATTTTTTTTCCACTGAAGCTGCTTTATTTTTATTGTACTTTAAGGGAAAATTGACAAAAGACGCGAAACTCCTAGAGACATAAAGCACAAGAGCACCAAATAATTTAAATAAATCGGTTATTTTTCTAGTTTATCGGGTCCTCGCGTTTTAAGTTAACATTATGCTTAGATAATCTATATATCAATGACCTTCCTTTCCTTTGACCTAGTAATGGTTTTGTTAAAATACAGTTGAAGACCACTTTTTACTACATCTTAATTTGGGTTCAATCACTCCTAACACCTCCTTGGACTTCGACAAAAATAAATACTTCATAGCCTGTTATACCAAATTTTCATTTCAGAGGACAAAGCTGCTTAAAATTATTAATTGATTTATAAAAAAACAGCATAGCGAATAATAACTAAAATTAGCCCAAACTAAAAAACTAAAAATAATGGCCTAAGTCAATCCGAAACTTATCCAAATATTTACAAAATGTGTCCCAGAAGAAATAAAATACAAACAAAATTTAGATTTGGAAAAAAAAACAAGCAACTATCCAATACAAACCAAAACTAAGAAATTGGTAAATGCGGGGAAATTTTCTGGATTTTTTCTGGAGGTACTTCAGTTCGAAGGAATTTACCATAAATCACCATGGATTCTAATTGGAGATTTTATTGTTGATTTTTTTTTAATCGAGTGCAAAATTTAATGTTATTTCTTGGATCACTTGCAATTAAAGATGATAAATAATCCAGAAGTAGTTAAAATCGAGTACACAATTCGTTTCTTACACAGATATAAAATATAAAAAGAATGTTAAATATTGAACATAAAATAGAAATTTTACATTCAAAACGAAGTTAAATTACATTCTACCTATTACCATGTATACCATATCCATGTATAAATTGCTCGACTAAGAAGAATATTGAAATTATAAAGTAGTATTGCCATCATGCGTTAAACAACTTCAATATTTTATAGTTTCTATAAATATAATATGAAGTTGTTACTTAACATTCATCTGTTAAAATACCAACAGATATGCTTGAATTTAAAGAAAACGGTACATTGTATTCTTTTGATCATCCTTGCCCCGCCCCTTAGTGCGTATCTTATCCTGCTGCGTTGTAGGCAACCCGGTATACTTAGAGATGCTGGGTTGGTTACTTACTACACGGAAAATCTGTCTGGACTGAAAAAAGTCCAAACAGCTGATTTTTGTATAGTCGCCTTTAATTTTGCTGCAATTTTTGTTATTTTTGATTAACTTGCAAGTTGCTTGAGGAAAAATTGTTTAATCCAGGAGAGACAACGAATTTTCTAGTTGATCGTGCGAAGTGCGCTATTTTGCTAAAGATGGCAGCACGTTGATATCCTAGTTGACGATTTACCATCTGCCACTGCCAGGTGTTTTAGACGTTCTCCAACATTTTCAAACATATTGCTGTATTATTATTTTCATTGCTTTATAAAGTATAGTCAAACATGGATGAGCAAAATATACCGATTGATATTCATACTACCAAACTCTTGGACTGGCTCATATCTAGAAGACACATTCCCAAAGATTGGCAGAATCGAGTAATAAAAGTAAGGGAGAAAATCAACAATGCAATCCAAGACATGCCTGTTCATGATGGCATAGTCAAACTAGTCAGTGGTCAGCACATCAACTACTTCCACTGCCTGAAAATCGTCGATATCCTCAAAGAAACTGAAAAGGATAGCAAGAACATATTTGGCCGATATGGTTCACAAAGAATGAAAGATTGGCAAGATGTCATTGCCGATTACCAGAAAGATAATATTTATCTTGCAGAGGTTTGCCAATTCAAAACTCTCTTAGTAGAAAGCTATCGCTTAAGCACTGACCATTCCAGGTGGCCGTAATGCTTATCCGTAATGTGTCTTACGAGATTCCAAGTATGAAAAAGCAAGTACACAAGCTAGAGCAATTACAGGCGGAAAATGAGAAAAAGATCAAGGACTGCAATAAGTCGGAAGCTGTGTCTCAGAAGGAGTTCAAAGTTGCTTGTGGTCAATTAGGTAAGACGGCGAACTAAAGCGAAAGATAAAAATTGAAAGTTTTAAAGCGAGTTCATTCTAATGGGGCAAACGGAAAAGGCTTCATTGTTCTTTCGCTCTATTGCTCAATTGAAACTGTCGCCAAAGTATACAGTGATTACAATTTTAATCGAGGAAATGGTTTAAGTACAAAACTCACAAAAATAATTTTAATAGTTCATTGGTTTTTCGGTTGAAAGGTTCGGTTACGTTCTCGAGGACCTCATTCAATATATTAAACAGTCCAGAAGAGAAACAGTGTACGAGATGGTCTTTTTTAGGCAAACGTCTCCTTTTATCACCGAACTTTTTTTGCCGTGCTCTACTAAGTCTACGTCTAACGAGTTTTTCATCGGGTTTGTGTTCATCTCAATCATTTGTGTCTGAAACTCCCGTTAATGTTGAGCAAGTTATTTGCTCTACAGCTAACTTTATTTTTTATTTGGTAACTTTTTAATTACCTTTTTAATGCTATATAATTTTGAAAATACACCACAAAAATGAGAGGCACTATTAATCAATATATTATTAAGGTGACTTATTTGAGGTGACCAAATTTGAGGTAAATATCCCAAGAACTGCAAAAGGAACTTTGAAAGGAAAAACAATGTACATTTTCGATGTTCAAGACCATGTATTCGTCCATCTGAATAAATAGCGTCTGCAAAAATAGGTTTAGATAAGTTGTTACGAGTTCTAGCCACTAAACTGCTGAACAAAATGAGCGTTACACAGCCAAATTTGCCCTAACTTTGGAACTGGATAAATTCTGATTCTGTTTGAAGTGTTATTGAGTCCCATTTGTTTTTTGTTAGTCAATTTTTTGGTAAAAATTTATCATCTCAGACAAATTTTGTACAGAGTCGAATGAAAAAAGAAAAATGTTGGAAAATTCGGCATTTTCCTAGTTGGACAAAATGTGAAGGTTTTTTGGGTCTCAACACCAAAAGTTTAAAGAGAAATGAAATAGTTCGAAACGATTTTTTAATTTTTCGGCCATCTGTCGTATTTACAGGGTGGGTCTCAAAAATCAACTTTTTGAATTCGCAGCGATAACTTTTCTGCTCTTGGTCCGAGTTTCACGGTCTAGAGCTGATGTTGAAGCCTAAACTTCATAGACGATTTCGGACCAAAATTGAATATACAGGGTTGCACAAAAAATTATCCAAATCCGAATTGCCTCCGAAATTTGTGATTCTGGAAGATTTTCAACTAAGTGAAGTTTACTTTCAAATATTACGTTCCTTCATTCAACCCGGTATATTAAATTATTATTTTCTCAAGTCCACTGTGAGGTTTTAGCTTCAACATAAACCCTAGATTTGGAAAATTGATTCAAGAGAAAAACAATGATCACTGCAAAACCGAAAAGTTGATTTTTTAAGTCCACTCTGTAAATAAACGTGATGAGCGAAAAATAAAAAGTGTTTTGATATCAGGTCTATCTTAATGCTTGTGGGGTTGAAATACAAAAAATCGCTTTTTTCTCAGCGGAGAACCCGCGGAAGTTAAACCAATTTTTTCATTGGTTTATTTTGCAAGAACTTTTTTTTGCAAAATCACGCGCTAACCGAAAAAGAATCACTCTAAATAAGGCTTCAAAAAGAAATCAATTCACTCTCAGCAGTTTATCCAGTTCCAAAGTTAATCCAGATTTGTCAGTGTAACGTTGATTTTGTTGAGCAGTTTATTTATTTTGGTCAATTAAAACTGGAATAACGTTATGCACAGATCATACGGAATAAATGCTTACTATCCGATATCTTCTATATTCAAAAGGAATACGTGCATGGGAATTAAAGCGATGATAATTTAACAAATGTTCCTATTGTTGCTTTTTCCATTGCTAACAGTATAAAACCGCTATATATAAACTAAGTATAGTAGGTGCGTAGCAGAACAGTACTATAAACAGCTCACCAATACATTGCAGGCATTAAAGGAGAAAAAGTAAAGTCTGAGCTTCTTGATCTTTTAAACGAGCTTCCCCAACTGTATGAAGAAACTGCCGAGAAAATAACAATAGTCAGAAGTGCCATTGAGCTGTATGCTGCCTTCACTAAATATCTTTCGGGGCAAGATATTGACTGTATCAATCTGCCTATATTAAGTTACTTAATAGAAAAGGGGAACACGACGGCTTACGAGTTTGTTTATGGCGAAAAACCATTGAGAATTGAAGAGCCGCAAAAAGCTACTATGGAAGAGGTTGATAAGGACGACGTAAATGTAATTGATTTTGGCGATAGTGATAATATCGACTTTGGAGACAATGGGGCTGAAGTCGATTTCGGTGGTGAGACCAAAGAAATCGATTTTGGCGACCAGATTGTTCTTGAAACTCCCAAAAGTGCTGAGCAAATAATTTGCTCTACAGGTAACTTTTTAGGCTTGCGTAGTAGGTCAGTAGATAAATCCAAAAGCTAAACTCCTGGCAATTTTAGACTCGTCAAATGATGGATCATTCGAAATTATAAGCTATGATGATCTCAATCCGGATCTTGAAATCGTCTTAGACGAATCAGGAATTGTGGTAGAGAAATCTGGAGAAGATGGGGGAATTGCTCGGGGCGAAGAGGCGCTCACCATATTGGACCATCCGAAGTACAGAGAGCAAATTATAAATGACTTAAGCGAATTGGAGGCCTTTGTGAAAATGAGATTGTTCGAAATGTCTCACGAGTCGGACGTTCTTTCAATGTCTCAGATGCAAGATGCATCAACAACTCTCCAGATGCAAACATTGGAGTCTGTCACAGCGCTCGCTGATTCCGTTAATGTCGCTCTAAGCTGCCTGACCAATAAAAGAATTCAACATTTGCATAATATAAAACACTCTGAGAGATATTTGGACTTACTGACGGCCAGTCTGAATCAAAAGCTCACTCTGGGTGATCGAATGAGGGCAACTAAAAAGGTACTGGAGGATAAAACTGCACAAACGGCCGATGAGATTAGGAAACTCGTACCTGTGATCAAATTACTGTTCGAGAGGAGTAAGCAGATGCAACGGGAAATCCAGGATGATATTTCTAAAAAGTATAATGGTAGAACTGTGAACTTAGTAGGGGGTGTAAATGTACTAACAGTTTAGTCATTTGTAGTGATTTGGCAGCCAAGTGTTAGTAGTTTGGTCAATATCATTGAATTTTTGATTGAAAAACTCATTCTTCCTATTGTATTTTGACTGGTTTTCGTGTGTTACCTTGCAAAACTATTTTTTTATCGTACTTTAATGATAGTAAGGCGAAAGGAGTTATATTTATTTACCTAAGTATACTCGTTTCTTATATATACTTTTTCCTGGGTTGTTAAGCGAGTCTCACGAATTGTTTAACACTCTAGAAATATAATCCTTTTAACAAAATATTCGTTTTTGTTAACGGTATGAAAACGATATACAGGGTATATCGTAAGTACATAATCAGAATTGTATTGCGACAATGTTTGGCATCATGGACCTAACTTTTGACTCTGCCACCTGCCACTGATGGTAACAGTTTAAAAAAAAATGTTTTTCGTAATATCGGGGGAATGTTAAGATTTATTTTACTTTAACTTACTCTGTGATTTGTTCTTACGTAAAGCTCATATTTTGATACCGCGCTTTTCCACACTGATCAAGCTGTAAATTCTTGAGTGTGTGAAAACACTATTTTTTTATTTGTGTTTTGAAATTTATAATACCAATAAATTCTGTTTTTTCTCTTTCTATAGTTTCTTGATTCATTTTAGGCTATTTTCGTTTGTTGTCATTGAAAATTTTTAAACCATAATACAGAAAAAACGGCTAATATAAATCTAGGCAACACATACAGGGTGGTTTTTTTTAGTGCGATAGAGTCCATTATTTCCGATGGTGTTGAACTTTCGAAAAATAGTTTCATATAAAAGTTGTTGACGCACAAAGTGCGCACATTTTAAAAATATTTTATATGACACATAGTGTCTCAGAAAAGCGAGGCAAGATCAAAGTTTTAGATTGAAGTTCACATTGTTAACACCCTGTACAATGTGGTTCAATAGAATTCTTAACATATTTCGGTTCAATAGAATTCTTAACGGATCTGTTGTAATTGGAAAGACGTATTTTTTGTATCTTTAACTGCTTTTTTTGTTTCTACAATGAATTTGTAGATACCCTGTTTTCAAGCAAAATTTTACTAAAATAGCGATAATCTGCCAACGTCGCAAGTAAGAAAAGAACAATTTACGGCGCATATGCAGCGTTTCAAGCTGCATTCCATGAGCTAATGAAAAATTGACTCTTTGATCTTGCCTCGCTTTTCTGAGACACTCTGTGTCATATAAAATATTTTTAAAATGTGCGCACTTTGTGCGTCAACAACTTTTATATGAAACTATTTTTCGAAAGTTCAACACCATCGGAAATAATGGACTCTATCGCCCTAAAAAACCACCCTGTATATATATTTCTGAAACAGAAAAAAGGGAAAAAATCTTATCGACCTGTCCAAAAATATATAGGGTGTTTTATTCAAAGAAAGATTTCTGTGTTTTATATTTTTTATTTTAAATTCTAAAATTAAATTTTAAATTTAAAATTGAACAACTTTTGTGTTAGTCACTTTTTTTAAAATAAACGATCTGGGGGGGGAGGTGTCAATTTATGAGGAATTACCCTGTACATTGATGCATATATTTTTTATGCATATATGTTGAAGATACAATAAATATACTTTCAGATACTTTGAAAGTTGATTAGAAATAAGGTACCTTTGTTTGACATCGATAAAAAGAACAGTTTTTTTCTCAAAAAAAAGCAGCAACAAATTCCCGGTTTGTCTGGCAAATTCCTCTTGGTCGGTGTGCTTTTCAGTGAATAGAGCCAATCTTCTTCGTTTGCTTGTATCGTAATATGATTTTAATATTTTCCCAGTATGATCTTCCGTTGCAAAAGTACCAACTTCGGTGAGAGTCGCATTGGACAAACATTTTAGTTTCAATAGAAAAACACCTAATATTGTTCAGTGTAGATTTGAAATAAGCAATCGCATAAAAGCTACTATAGTGAAATGACTAAAACTCGGACAATCTGTACACCACACATTTATTTCCGAAAACAAGTTCTCATATATTAAGATTAAGCAACCATTTCTACAAGTTCAATAACTTTAGTCCATCGTTTAAAAGCATTTTATGTATACCATAATAAATATATATTAAAATTCTTATAATAAAATTCACAATGTGTCTGTCTGGGACAAAACAGTTTTTAGTACCATTTCAGCACCTGCGATGTTTTGTTAATTTATTGAAGAATAACAGTTGAATTTGAAATTTTTATTAATTAGTACGGAATGTTATTTTGCAATAAATAACAATCACCGATGGGTCAAATATATTTTAACATTAGCTTAGCACAAGCATTTCCATCGGAACGTCGAACATCATGAATATATATTTGGCCCAATTGACTCAATAATAATGTAAAGATAAACTTTCTCTTGAAAAGAGCGATTTCAAGGAAAAGTTCAGGCACTATAGTCTCTAGAAGTAGGTTTAAATGTGTAGAAAAGGGCATTATTTCTGTCTTATTCTAGTTAAACTCATTTATTTTAAGTTCTCCCTATAAGTTCATTTATAATGTTTCAAATTTCTACAATTGGCATTCAATGTGTTTCTAATTCGAATATTAAAACTATCAACAATTTCATTTCGTATGAACGGAAAATGAAAATGTCTATCAATTAATATAAATAAAAATGCATTTTTGTACAAAAATTAAATTTGAAACCACAATTTAACATTAAAACAATCAAGAGAACGTAAAGTGTAAAAATCACCGGTAGGAAAATACTGCGACAATTAACATTAAACTTTCATGTTGAAAAACCTTCAGAAAAAAATTGCCACGCTTTAACGCGGATTGCGCTCTTCAGACATAAATTGGTCCAGGACATTTTGCATGGTTTGACGAAGCTCCGACTCGTTCGGCGACACTATGGAATGACTAACGAGAGTTCTGATTGTTCTAGTGATTCTGCAAAATACCATAAATTGTATCTAATATTTCCTTCAATATTCCAAATTGAGTTTTAATAAAGCCAATGTTGGGTCGTTGAAATTGTCGCTTTTTACACTTACTTTGCTCCAGTAACTGGATCAACTTCTTCTATGGTGGTCTCAGTGTATTGCGGCTCTTGGTGGTAAAAATCCTCTAAAGCATCATGAATAGTCAGTAATATACTTAGAAAGATCATTGTGTATGTGAGTCAAACCAAAGTCGAAAACACATGATTGTTTTGTTAGTTCGATTCGCAAGAACGCGTGTGTGTTTTGATTTTTCATTCAACTCAAATTTAATCTTATAGGTCTGTGTTTGAAATTGTACTATTCTGTAGGTAAAGAACAACGAGTTATACAAAGAAAAGAAGGTTTTAAGCTGCTGCAGACAAGCGCAATAGATTAATAAAGCATTAGTTCTTTGCATACAGAGCATTGCAGAGGTGCAGCCAATTGCTAACAATATTTTCGTTCTTTTGCCTACACCTCCCAAAGTTGTTCGAAAAATGCAAGCATTGTGTGAACTGTGTTTTCAAATATGTTATTAACAAAATCATGCCACATTTCTTATTGCAATTTTCTACTCTTCTATAAGTAAATCGGTGTAGTTTTTTTTACCTTTGGTTCATTTTATCAAAGCATTTAGCGCTCGCAGTAAATAAGTTCGTGCTGCTAAAGCTTAAGCATTGTGTGGCATTCAACACGCTCTACTTACTGTATGTGAAATAGCAATGTAAAAAGCGACTTAACGTCCTGCTGAAATGAAGAAAATTTAACAGTTTAGCTATAGTAGAAAGATTGGTCGGTGCAAACCATCAAGCGGACAATAATAACAAAACGAAACGAATTCATCAATATATATACCGGGTGTCAATTTGAAAATTTCCCACCCATATCTTTCTTGCAGTTGAAAATATGAAAAATTGGAAAGACCCGTACATTTTATTTGTAAGGGGGACACTTTAAATTAATATTTTCAGCCTCCTTGTTTCACCCTGAGAACTTAAATGGGAAAGTGGCACATCGTTTTAAAGGTCGTTTAATTCTCTTTATATTAGTTACTACTTTATGTTGCTTTTTGTTCAGAGGTTTTCGAATAATCGCGTTTCAAAGTTGTAGAAACAATTAAACTTGCATGCATTCAGATATTGGTTTTCAGGTTATTGTTTACACAAAAACAATTCATTGTATTGGGTTTTCTTGTATTACAGATGATTACGCGAGTAGGTTACACTGTTAAAATCGTTGAATAACAGGAAGAAAATCTAGTTTAAACATCGATTTCGTATTTTTAATTTTGATCTTATTTCTTATTTTGATTATTTTACATCTACAAAAATAACTTTTTATCTGCAGAAGAGAAATTTCTACAATAAAACCTATGTCATCTACTTATGCAGATATTTTACATCTTATTAAATTGTTTAAAATGTTGTCCACTAACTTTTCGGAACACTTTACCGGGAATTAACCGGCATACTGCTGCAATTGGCCTTTTAAGATCATCAATATCAGCAGGTTAAGTTTTATAGACAATGGACTTAAGATGTCCCCAAAGAAAGAAGTCTCAGGGTGTTCACTCCGGTGATCTTGGAGGCTCAATCGATCTATCCGGGAATACCTTATCTATATTAGGGAGGGTTCGAAAATAGACTTTATTATTGTTTACAGAAAAATAGACAACATTTTGAACAACTTATAAGATAGTGCGTAAGTAGATCCCATGGGTTTTATTGTAGAAATTTTTCTTCCGTAAATAAAGTGATTTTTCTCGAAGGTAAATAATCAATAAATCCGAATTCAATTCGGAAACTACATCTTTGAAACGTGATTATTCGAAATCCTCTGAACATAAAGCAACCAGGTAGTAACTAATGTAAGGAGAATTGAACGCCCTTTAAAACGATGTGCAACTTGACCCCCCTTCCTATATATGATTCTAAGGGTGACATCTTAGGGGGTTGAAACAAGGAGCCTAAAAATATTAATTTAAAGTGTCCCCCTTACAAATAAAATTGACTGGTTTTTCCGATTTTTCATATTTTCAACTGGAAGAAAGATATTAAGCGTGGGAAGTTTTCCTAATTGACACCCGGTATACGAAAGCACAATCAATTATTGATGTGAAAAATCAGTAGATTGGTGGAAAACACCAATAAGTTTACTTAAGCTGCTGACAGTTCGGAACGAAACAATCGATTGAGTTTAGTCAAAAGTATAAAGACGAGTTATGGTCAGTTGCATCTCAAAGGAAGTTGCTTTTTTTAAAGAAATTTATTGTTATTGGAAAGTATTAATTGTTTGAAAATAATTGTTTCTCAAAGTTTTTTTTTCTTGACTGCTTCTAACAAAATGTTTTCTCTTTTTACAAAGTTTTATTGATTGAGCATTGGCCACCCCCCTTTTCATCCTTTTTCTGAGTTTCTGTACGATTCGTTTGAATCACTTTTATAAATCTTTAAAATGTTTATTCTAAATTATAAAAATATAGCGTAGAACAAAAAATACTTTTATGTATATACGGTGAGGTGAGGTATAAACTAAATGTGACCAATTGTGCAAAACAATCTGCAAACAGCATCCAAAAGACGTTTTGTTTTATGTTGGCCAATAACCAAAAGAAAAAATGGTTTGCCAATGGAAAAAACAAAGGCGACAATTAAAACTGCTGAGTAAAACCGTTCGAACTTAGAAAAATGGCCAGAATTAAAGCAACTGAAAATTTGGATAACATCCAATCGAAACATGGGATTATCTGTCTACGAAAACATTACCAAAAGTTGAGTTCTTAGTAGAATTAATATTCACGTTCAAGAAAAAAGCCGTATGAATGAGACTGGAATGAAATTATGGATATAACGACATGATCAAAACGTCCAGGTGCATTGTTTAAAAAGCCTGCGCTGATCAATTTAGAGCGCATACAACAAAATCAACTAAGAAACCTCTAAAGGCAATGAATACAGAAAGGACAGTAATTCCTGGAAGCCTCACAAGTCATTTATAGCCCTTTGTATCAATCAAGCGCTTAAACATTGCATGCGAAGTAGTGAAAAAATGGAAAAGACCAACAATATCAGAAGGTTGTCTCCAGATGAAACATTCATGGGAAGTTGTGAATATCCGGAATAAGTATTTCTATAAACGGTAGAGAGAAGAACGCAGTTTTTGAAGAGTGATACAAATCTTCAGGTACGTAATACAAACGGTGGCATTAACGAGTCGAGTAGCATAAAAATATATATTTTCTAAAAATCTCCTTATAAATTTGAGGTGCGTGTTATTGACGAAAAAAATACGATAGACTTAAATATGACAACTTTTGTATTTAGTAATTCTTCCCAAATTAAAAATTGCAGATGTAAAGGGGGTGCTCAATATCAACAAAGGACCGCTTTTTATTGAAAAAATATTGGCTTCTGCTGCCACTTAAATTTGAGACTGATTCTACCAACAGACGTTACTTTAAATAAAATAGACCTTAAACCTTCAACTGATTCAAACAATCACCTTATTACAGTCATATATGCATTCACTGCAGGAAAAACTATACATTTCTCAGATAAAACATATACTTAGCGATTAAACAAAATGAATTGTTCTGTTTCAAACTTGCAGCAGATTATTTAATCATTCTGAGGAGGTGGACATTTGTTTAATATTAAAAGGTAATAGTCAGGCAATTTTCGAAATAGCTCAAACTGTGGCCAAGGCAATCCAATTTGTTACTTTAGAAACTGCAGGCGTGTAGTGTAAGCATGTGGTTTTTCTAAATGAATGGTCGACTCTGATGAAAGTTTCGATCCCAAGTGACTAGTTTCATAGGTTTCAAGCAGTAGGAATGACCCCAAAACCGTGTTAAACCGATAGATTTAGTTTCGAGTATTTCCCTGTATATGTAGACAATTAAGTAACTGAAAATCCGTGTGAAAAAAATGAGAGGCAACTGAAAATAATTCTAAATTTGCATACCATATGACTAGTACTGTGCGAAAAGTGCCAGAACGACCATGCTTGTAGCGATTGCGAATAAGGACCAGACTAGGGGAACGTACAAGGCATGCCAGGAGGCAGCGGTCTGTAAGCACTGTTTTTGGTCATCGGGCAGGCCAAACGCTTATCAAAAAAAGGCGTCAGTATCAGTCAGAGCCATTGAGGAGATTGCGCCCATGCCAAATTAACATTAAATTCAGTACAAATTTCAGAATACTTCAAATTCTTCCTGTTTATTGTTTACTGCTTGATGCAGATAAAATTTGGTCCAATTCGAGCATTATCAAAATAATTGATCAGCTGTGTAAAAACAGGACTTAAAATCTAATATTAGCTGGTTAGGTGTTTAAAATTTCGGTTAGTGTTAAGTCAGTGAGCATAAGTTTAAAATATGGTAATACTAGTAAGTTAATGTTAATTTAACTGGGGGTTAATGCAGTATACATAGGTCAAACACACAAAAAAAGAATAGTATTTAGAGCACAAAATGCATTTCGTAAAAAAAAATAAATAAATCTAGCGCTGCCTAAAACACAATCACAAAATGCAGGAAGGATCGTAAAAAAACAAGCGTTTTTCAACAGACTTTATATCAGAACTCCTTAAGTCTGAAATAGCTTCTCGCTCGAATGACTGCGTCACTGTTTATATAGGATTTTTTAGTATAATTATTGCAAACGTTTCAAATAAATAATATTTACCAAAATTACTTGCCCCGTGTATGTCGAGTTTGTTGGTAAAAGTGCAGAAAATGTCTAATTTGACAAACTTTTATTTATTTCTATAGTCAGGAAGATCAGATCAAATATATATCGCCGACATGCACTCAGCACAGTTTCAAAAATAACGGGGCGATTTTTGTGTAAAGTTCAAAGTCAAACATTAATACTCATTAACTGATTTTCATATATTTTTTTATAATTTGTAAACCAGGTCTGCGGCTAAGCTATCTCATTGGTTCGCAGTATTAGCTATTTATTTTCTATGTCAAATAATGGAAAAAAGTATTTCTATTTTTTTATCGATTTACTTGAAACGAAAATGTAGTCAACCCTTTTCAAATTGCGTCTTTTCGTCAGTATTTGCTTTCCCTTATCATTGAGGACATCGATTTTATCACTAGGAAAGAGAGAAATATTCTATAAATTTGCTGTCGTCAGAGAAACTATTTTAAGGAAAAGTCAAAAAAAAATTTCAAGTATTTGTATGAAATTGGCATAGTTTTTTAATCGATATGCATCAGCACTGCACAAAATACAAATATATATATGAAGAGAAATATGGCTTTTTAAAAAAGTGTCGTCCCAGTTATCCTGTTAGGGTTAAAATTCAGTCTTGACGAGAAGCAAAACGTGGAAATTTTATATTTAAATTCTCAGCTAAACTGTTTCTAGCTATAAATGCTGTAAATCTATTAATTTTGAAGATAAAACAACGATTAAAAAGGAAATGTTAACAAAAGTTGCAGTTTCAAAAGGATCGACTACTTTTCGGTTCCAAGGAAAACGTTAATGCACAGGGTGTTTAAAAATACTGATAAAAACAAAGCCTGCTATTTTCCTTATAATAGCCAAAGAATTAAGCTCTAAGTTAAAGAAAATGACATCAGAAAAATCTCAAAATAAGTTAGAATACTTTGAGCGTTACCAAAAATGTCCCTTTTTCAGACCGAGTGCATTTCACTTTTTTAAACCTAACACGAGTTCAGTTTTTACATAGTATACACCTATTCAGAGTGAGTCAGTATGGTAGGACTTTGGCTTTTAAAAAGGTGCAGCTAAAAGAGCTAAAAAAAGAAATATTCTAATTATAAGGTATACATAATGGCAACATCTGAGAGATTAACATTTAGAGAAAGGAAAAAGCTAATTGGAAAATGATGTTGGTGCGTACTTAAATGTCGAAGGCTCTCGCAACTTTCATCTGGATGAAAACGCAAAAAATAAAAAGCTTTTCCATACGCATAGTAACATAAACCTACAAATTTAATTAGTCATCTTTCATGCCGAAATACATACCAGAGTCCGAACTCAGCTCGGCTCCTTCCTCATGAAGAGCTATATCAGACCCGCTCGAACTGCCAATCGGATTGCCGGAAAGCGGATGCTGTTGATTGGCCGCTTTCTTAAGAATTCCTTTCAGAGGAGGAGACGTCTGTCGGGAATCGTCTTCGGAATCGGAATCAGCTGTAACAACTGTTCGCGATATCGGAGAAATGATCGTTGTGGTTGTGGTTTCTACCACTCGGGTCGTATTTGGAGAAACGGATTTCTCGGTGCGAATGCTGTCGGGCGAGCTTATAATAATGCTTTCGGTTTTAAGGACTGGAATTTTGCTTTTTGGTGTGCCTTGCAGGTCGATTTCACTCGCTACGTTGTTCTCACTTAGTAAAGACGACTCGCCACTCAGTACTGGGATTTTGCTTTTAGCGCCATCGGCTCCTTCGGAACTTATTCGCGTTACGACAGTCTTCACAATGGGCTCCGTGGTTGTAACGGTTTTAATTATTTTGGTAGTGACGGTTTCTTCATCGTCCTTATCCCAATCGAAGTCTTTGGAAATGTTGGCAAACTCCTTGAGCGGGTCCTTAGAATGTTTTTTGATTGTTTTCACTTTTGTACCTTTGATTATCGGAATTTTACTCAAGAGCTCGTCCTCTTCCGGAGATTTACATTCGCGTACTGGCTCAACCTCGAAGGTGACTAGTTTTTCTGAAACTATAAATTGGATTACAGGTAGAGATGTGAATCAAAATGGCGACAAGAAACATCAAATCAAATCAAAAGAGAATTGATATTGACAAAACGATTGAAGAACTGAATGAAATTTTAAAATACATACAAGGTGAATCGCAATTTTGTAAAATTTATTTTAAAGGGTTACTGGCGCTTACCACTGTGTGCGCTCAATTTCGCTATTAGGCAATACTTTATTTTTTATTTCAGTAGTTCAATGGTTATTCGGCAAACTGTTAACATAGTCTACGTCGCATTTAACGTGAATCTTAAATTTTTGTAATCGAAACAGCCCCAGAAAAGTTAAGATATAAAAGAACCAAAAAATAAAATAAACATATTGGACATGGTGCTTAAATGTCATGTTTTCTAGGTCAGAGTTGAAATTATTTATTTTTAAAATCTTTCTGCGGACAATATGGATAAACTCACGCAGAAAAAAGCATTCGATGTTATAGCCTCATATCTTTTCTCGCTCTCATCTCATTCGAAAGGTATTAGTTTTTATAGCAGATCGCATTTTCCGCGCTAAATTTACTTAAACTTTATTTTTATTTGCGCAAAAAATGTATGGCCAAAACGCTATGCAAACAACATTTGATTAAAAGTTGATAGCTCTATTTATTTTGTCACTTAGGGCACTTAGTTAGGCCTGGGCAACACTGTGTTGAATTGCGCTTTTGAGTTGTCGAAGCTCCCTGAGTTGATGAGTTATAACTCATTTATTAAAGTGGATTAAAGCTTTATGAGACCCGATACCGGAATTTTAAAAGTCATCAACATTTTTTATGAGTAATGTTTTACCACTTTGTCTAAACAACTAAAAAAAAAGGGTCACCTCATTTTTTAACTCATAATAAAAATTTACTGAGTTCCCTCTGTAGCTGGCCTACTCTTTGTGCTCGGCGAATTAAATTGTATTTTTTTCCTTTTCTTAAGGATAACATATTCTTGTGTTCATGCCTAAGGATATTGTTATCTGTTTTGTTTCTTTATTGAGTTACATACGTAAATAGACACAGTTTTTTCGGAAGTAAAACGTAAAAGTAAAAAGTAAATAAATTTCGGGCTAAAAATCTGACCGGAAAATAAATATATCTCGAATGCCTCAATATAAACAGACGGTTAAAGATCAAAATTACTCAGAACCTTTGCTTCCAGAATGATTTAAACTAGGCCTAGGCCTCAATGAATTTTTAGGAGTTGGCACAGTGCGGCGCAAATTGCTCGCTGCTCCACCCAACGCACCGGCGCAGTAACTCGGTTCCGTTGCTGGAAAAATGTTGATGACCTTTTTTTAAGTTGTTTTTAGATTTATTTTATATTTTTATTAATTTTATTTTAAAGTTTCTTCAAAATTTCAAGATTTTCCAGTTTTAGCAAAAAAATTAGTTTTAGCTAAACTGTCACTTAAAAAAATACTGACAATTTTTATTAGAACGCTCACCTCCTTCGTCGCTTTGTAAACATTTCTGAAATGCGTCGCCAGCTTTAAATTTGGGACAAAAATCGAATATTTTTTATCAAAAAACGAACGGAATTTTATAATAAATTATTTGGAAAACTCGCCACCCTCATAGCTCTGAAGAATTCAGTTCCTTTGTGGACGACCTTATTTAGATGTTAAAATTTCAGTCTCAGTTATCGGTAAATGAGTTAAAACTCAACGTGCGATCAAATTTATGATTTAGTTCATTGCGAAAATTTTATTTTTTTGTCAGAATTATATACTATTTCTTCTATACTCTGTAAACCCCTCCTGGAGGAATGACGCCAATTTTGCATCCCACTGAATGGAACTGAAGTCAATATTACCAAACCATTTTATTTGGGCATTTCGTCTAAAATTTTAGGCTATTGGAAATACCGAACTTCCTTAAGTCTCTTGTTATGAATAATCATACCTGATGAAATTCGATCTTTAAAAAAATCATAAATTTGAGGCGAAAACTTCGAATGTATCAGCCATACTAATCTGCAGTAAACATGTTAGTTTTGGAACTGGCTTTTTACATATCATTTTTAACTGTATAATTAGAATAGGAAACTCACTTATCCAACCAGTAAATTAGATATTGTTGAAAAAAAAATCCTTTGAATCCATTAAATGTTTGATTTTCAAATGAAGTTACAATCCCGATTAAAAAAATCATTGCACACTGTAACTACGCATTTTAACGTTCTTCAGGCTTTAAAGCTTGAAAATATACAGCGTCTAGGGCAAGTTTAAAACTCTCATTCTTCGAGCGACTTAAAAGTATTTACATAGTGTAAATTGGCTTACCTTCCGCACTTTTGCCTTTTCCCTTTTTCTTCTTGTCCTTGCCTTTCCTGGCCTTCGGTAGAGGTATCGAGCTCCTAGGGCTTATTGGACTGAGAGAGTCTCCGCTTTGCGACTCTATAGAAATATTCGAGTCCTCGCTCTTTAAATCAGGATCAGCCTCCTTTTGGATGAATGTCGCAGAATCGTCCAGCAGGCTCGGTTTGAACACGTCTTCCGACATGCTCACTTTACTAAGCAACGGGCTGGATGCTTCATTTTCCAAAAACTTAAAAGCCTCTTCGCTTTTCTCCTGTATTGCACTAATAGAGTCGTCTTTTAGGCTCTCTAGGTTGTCTAACGAGTCCTCCGTATTAGTTCTAATATCGTCTAAAATACTGTCCGCTCTCTCTTCTACAGTGAACTTTATTTCCTTTCCCTTTTCCTGGAATTCATCTCCGTTTAGCTGTAGGTCATTAACAACGTCTTCTGCCTGTCTGATCACTTCTTCGACCTCCTGCTCTGCAACATCTCTGAGAGATTCTTCAAAAGCATTTGCAGGCGATTGGTCAAAAGAGTTTACTTCAACGTGTTCTTGAAAGGAAATTTCGGGAACTTTTCTAACGGACGGTGAAGACTGTTGGTCTTGGGAATTATTTGTTACTACTTCATCCTCAGCCGCGTGATTTTCTACCAAGAGTGGTTCTGAAATGGACTTTTCTTCGATTGAAGTCACTGTTAGTGTTTCATCAATAAGAGATTTGGGTTCTTCAATTGCAACCTCCTCGTGTGGAGGTGCTGATGGCTCGAGTACTTCCTCAGGCTGTGCTGCTAATTCTTGATTCTTCTTGGGAGTCTTCAAACTGATATACTCCAAGTCGATTTCATTAGCAATATGATCGTCCTTTCTGCTGGGAATGATGATATCATCTTCCGGCAAAAAATCGTTTCTTTCTTGGTGCAAAAAAGTTAACGTGTCGCTGACGTTCCTCTTTAAAACTTCGATGGGATCTGGGGTGGGTTCTAGAGGTTTTTTTAAGGGGGTCGAGGAGAAGATCACTTGCTCTTGGACTGCGTCTGGTTCTGGTGAAATTCCTTTTGAAAATTTTCACGATAAAAGATTGACTCCATGAATGAATACTTGACAAATATTTCAAAATATACATGCTCATGTAATTCAGAATCATTTGTTAAGCATAGCAACTGAACCTGTATTCCCTTAATTAATGCCTATCAATAAATAATACATCTACGTTAGCCTACGATTGGTGCCAGTTAGAGTGAAAAGCTAGAAAGAAAAGGAGAAGATGCCCTTCACCTATGTGCGAAAAAGAGCAGAAAATAACTACTAGAAGAAAGTATAGAAGCTGGAAATTAAAATGGGCATGAAAATGTTAATAACTTATTCGCTGCAACAAAAAATAATGAAAAATCAACTGCATTGAAAAGACTTTACTTCATGAGATGAGAGCCGCAATTCACTTTTCGCTATTGTGAAAAGTCTTTTCAGCAGTTAGAAGCAAGCTTATTCAAGCAGCTGCTTCGCAAGCATAGATATGCTTTCTTACCTTTTTGGTTCTCAATTTCCCCGACATTTTTATTGACAATGTCCTCGAATACTTCGGCCGGACTTGGTGGCGGGGTTCCCCCGAAAGAGTTTACAGCTTGTGATGGTGCTCCTGTTTGGAGCGTGTTAAACTGTTCGGTAATCTGCTCAAGAATTTCCTCTCGGTTGCCGTTGGTTCTGGGAGTATTGTCTAGAACAACTTGCTCGTTGTGGGGCGGAATTTGATCAATGCTGGTGTCCGCTACATCTCTGCTCGTCGAGTTTAGGTTCTCATTTTGAATATCATCTGAAAGTAGATGATGTTTGAAGTAGGACTGGATTTTGCTAATTTTCTGCGGCTGTACCACTTTTTTCGCTTCGTTCCAGCTTCTCATCGCTGCCCAGGTATGACTTGTCGAGATGGGTATCTCGCCTCAATGATGGATCTCTAGAAGGCCCAAGTTCATCTTTTAGGTAGTCAAAGCCTGGAAATTTCCCAAGGTAGAGGTGGCCTGAGTAAAATGGTACAATCGCTATATTACCTGACTGATCCAAATGAATCTTGGCCAGGGCCTTCTCCATGTCATCAGTTACCATCTCAACGTTGCAGATGCACTTGTCCACAATATCCTGTCTTCCGATCTTGTTAAGCGCTCGTTCCAGCTGATTTCCAGTTGCTTTGTTGGCTTTTTGCCTCAACCACAAACGGAACATGATCATGGCTTGTTGTGGATGGTTTTCGGGATATTCTTCTTTGATCAGTTCCACATCTGATGGAGCAATGTCCAACTCTTGGGCCAATTTCTCCCAGTCCTCGTCCAGCAGATTGCAAATGTCTGACAATCGGAAGTCAGCCCGATGGATCGTATCGGGTTTGCCTGTACAATCAGAAGTTAGTCGCTAATGGCAATTTGAAAATGGCAAAGATAAAAAGCGGCTTGAATGTCGGTGTTTTCTTTGGCTTTTAACGTGCCGCTTTCCTTACGAGTTATTTTTCTCAACCGCCCTCAATATCCCTGTTATCGGGGTACCTTTTGTAGTGAGCGCCCTCACAGTTGAAGCCATATTTATTCGGATAAGTAATGTTTAAAAATAATATAAGACACTTTATTTTATTTTTTTTTGTGTTGGTTTGCTTACTTGGGAAGGAAGAGACAATAAACCGAGGAAAGTAAACCTTTCCAGGGTGGTACTATAATTGTATAAGTATATAAGTAGCACTTTCCAGTCGCACAAACAAAGACGTATTACAAAGCTGGTCCGAGTATGATTCTTTCATTGAACGAATAATTCGATTCTTCCCATCACTAATGTGAATATCTTTACTTACTGATTCCACCATGATGCAAGTAGCTGTGGTCTTTGTTAATGGATAACAAATCGCTTTGCGAGTCTCTGTCGGGTAGAACGTCCTTTGGTAAAATCAGGTTCAAAGTGCATAGGGGATTGCTTGTCGTATATCCAGTGCGTCCTGCTTTAGGCTCCGCCATGAAGATTATTCTTCCTACTGCATCTTCATCCTATAATAGTTTGCTGCGTTAGTAAAAAAATAACGATATATTGGCTCAAGAAGAACTTACATGATCCTTTAATCTCATATTAAACGCGCATCGGTTCTCCTTGAAAGCTTTGAATCCCAGCTTTGGCTGATCGTTAGATTGGAGAACGGGTACCAAATTTCCGGCAAACTCCATGAAAATATCTTTGCCTTCCAAAATCTGTTTACCACAAAGTTTATTTTAATAATGCTTGGTTAATTAGCTTAGAATTCACGAAATGTTACCTCAATATCTCGACTTTTGGCAACTTCAGTAAAATGCTCTTGGTGTTCCAGTGTCTTGTCTTCTTTATCGTCGGTCATGCAAAACACGCGCACCCGGGCTTCCAGTTGACTCACTCTCTTGGCAAAAACGACGAATTTAGCCATAAATGGCACATGAGCAGCCTAGAAATAATAAACCGATTAAGCTGAAGCTTCCTAAAGAAACATGATGAACGGGAAAAATCTGAAATTCTGAAGAAACTTAAAAATTCTTCAGAGCGATGAGGGTGACAAGTTTTCCAAATAGTTGGCTATATGCTTTTGCTTTCTGTGGTCGTTTTTTGGAAAAAGTTAAAATTTTTCTAAAAAACTTTGAGAATTTTATTTCGCTTTTGTTTGAAATTTAAAGGTAAAACGGGTATTCGAAAAAGACGACCAAGAAGACCAAACTATAAAGTCGACGAGTTTGCTTGTAAAATCTTGGAAATTGTGGAATTAAAAAAAAATAAAATTATTCACAGCTACGAAGGTGACGAGTTTTCCAAATATACGATATAAACTTTCGCGTGTTCTGTTCGGAGAAATATTTTTGGGAAAAAATCCAGAAAATTTTTTATTTTTAAGAAGCTAAACTAAACGTAATAAAAATTTAAAATAAATCTAAAAACAACTAAAAAAGTTATCAACATTTTCCCAGTAACGGAAATTGGGTTGGAGCAGCAAGCTATTTGCGTCCACTGCGCCAACTCCTAAAAATTAACTGAGTTCACCCAGGCCTACTCAATCTGCAAGATTGCTTGAAAATATGTATTAGGTTGTAAAGTTGTTTAGGAAAATTGTACAATTCTAAATCAAAAGCACCCAGCTCTTAGCGAAGAGCTCTTAGAGAATATCATTAATAAATAATTAATAATTTTTTTATCAAAAAACGAACAGATTAAGCGAAAGTTTAGTTTAGAACTCTACATTAGACTAGAAAACGGCGTTTCATACATAAGACGTAAGTTCGTTACCTGAGTGTAAAGTTCGGTGGCCATTTTGGCTGCATCGGCCACATTTCTGCAATCCATAAGCCAAAATCTAGCGGACACTGTTGTGGTAAAAGACACGCAGTCTTTAACAAAGTT